TCCCCTTTAATTAATAATGAGAATTAAGGCATGCGTATACTTGCACACACAAAAACTTTCCATATGAAATATACTGCTGCTCATCAATCACATTAATAATTTTGATATTAGATCTTATTATGAAAACAGAATAACTGAAAGCAATGAATGAGTTATCAGTGCAATTAGCTGGTTGTATGTAATCCATTATATCAATATGAATGTCATTGAGTATAACACAATTATGATCAGAAGTAGATCCAACTATATCATACACTACAAGAGAAAGACAAGTATTAAAACCTACTGTTTAGAGGGCCGTGAGTCACTGTGTCAACTGTGTTGATGTTGTAATTCATGGTACTGGGATCATACAATGTAGTTGTCACTTGTATACAGTACATGTACATGCATTGGGTTTTAATTGAGTAATACACTAGAACTAAGCTGGCAGCCAAACCAACCTTAATATAACTAAAACTTCACGTCTCTACTGGAGTATATATGTATTGTTAAACTTATACTATGAGTCTGTCACATGATTCACTAAAGTTAAATAAACCAATTATTAGAAATAGGTCCAGAGTGATTGGCTGTCTTACCAATATTTCCAAATATAATTCCATTCTCTGTAAATGAGACTTTAATGGATGCCTTTATATTCACAAAATCATGAGGACCAAATGGTAACAGATCTAAGCCTTTCAACAAGCTTTAGGTCGACCTATAGATGCCAAGAATTGATTTATAAATTATACTAAATGCAAACAACTACACATGGATAATTAGTGTACTACATTACATACATGCTCCTATCTCGTGTTAAAATTTGAATGGATTTAGATCAAGATTGGATTTTTTGCAAATTTTGATTCATGCACTTTTCATCTTGTTTGTCCTTAATTGCTACAAATGCACTCACAATTCTATTACTCCTGTATTCACTTTATAGCTTATAATTATTGTTTGTGTACTATTTATGAGGATGCTCTCTCACTACACAGCCAAGAGTTTGTGATTGAATCATGAACGATGTCAGTCCTGATGCAATGAGCCTGGCTT